GGTAATTTTATATAATGGAAAAAGTTAGATTGCACAGCCTTTGGCTTGCTGTATACAACTGCGCATCAGCCAGATTGAGTTGCCTCTGTACCTCCTGCAGTTTCATTTATAGGGTTTGATTTTGAAATGACTACCATCAAGGATAGCATACCTTATGTGTTCATTGAAGTATAGATCTATTACATAAAATATCATGACTAGGGAAATTAATTTTTTCTTGAAGGATCTAGAGGAAGCCAGTCTGATCTGCTTTCCCAAATGTAAATGCCAACCTTCTCCCATGCTTTCTCTGAGACCCCAGACATTCCAATCCCCAGCCCTTCACTGCTACCTTTGCTTGCCCCAAATGTTTTTCATTCTCACAGCTGGGTTGCCCCACTGAAGGCTTTCTTTTGCCTGCCCAGCTGATGATGTTTTTCTGGCTCCAGAAAACTTCTGAGGTTGTTACAAACATTGCTTGGGGGTACAAAGGATTGTCCCGATTAAAACAACAACAAAACTAGGACGGTCTTGCAAGAATCTGGATGGGTGGTCATCCCACATGAACACTTTGTGATGCTTCTCTCTTCCTTTCTCCACATCCCGGTGATTAAACAGGAACAATGTTGTTTTTTTTTGACAATTTGGGAGTTAAACTTAGATTTAGTTGTATTCAAAGTTCTATTCAATAGCCAGTGATGCTAAGATACCTAAAACACTTTTTCTCATTTCATTATTCTTAGGGATCTGATTACTGCATTGTTGCATTTGCATATTCTAACGAATGACAGTAATTGAAAAATAAGAATAAATTCAACCCTAAATTTAAGTCTCAAATTAATAGACCTTTTCTCCCTGCAGTTTGAGATTTTAAAAAAAGGCTCAATTAGTTCAAATAAGATGCAGTAACATTTCATTTTCTTTTGTTCATTAGAATATGATGTAATTATCATTATTTGCATGATGGGCTTTTGCTTATAACTCTAATTACATTGAGTTTAAGTGGACATAAACGGTTATCAGGAAATGGAAGGAGAAAAGGCTGTTTATAGTCTTGTCCGTGTTTTCCTCCAGAACTCTGTCTTTCCAACAACTGCAGCAGGATATGCTGTTGGTATTTGGAGGCTTCTAGGAAGAGAAGTGGCCAAGTTTACTTTTCTAATCTCTAAATTCAGCACATAGGTCACCACTCAGACACCTTCTCTATGTGTGCATTAAACCGTGACTTAAATGTTCAGTCGTGACAACTCCCAGTGAGGTCTGGAGCCAGGACAGGGCTCTGAATCCCCAAGTTACCTGCCGCTGAACACATATGACTTACTTGCAAAAGTTGCTTCACCTCTCTCCACTTCATTAATAAAATTTTAAATAATGATTCCAAATTAGCACTGAGTAAATGGACTTAAAAAAATCCTTTTATACTAAAAAGAAATGCTCATTTCTAATAGACTCTTTTCAAGCTGTGTCCAATGTGTTCACTATTTCTTTTAGTTTATGTCATGGTTGTAATGATAACTAGTACTGCTATTTATGGAAAGAAGTTTATTTTTTGCTCAGAAAAAGGGTTGGGCAAAACTTCTTTGCTTTTGGCCTGATCATAAAGCTCTCACATGTTCTTAATTTATGGCCCATCATTTGCTATAATTAGGTGTCTCAAATAAATTTATCTCTTAACTGTGACTGAGGCTAAGTGAGTGAATGAATCTGCATGAAGGCGAGTATTCCTGGGTGCTCACACAGCCAAATTTCTCATTCAGTTTTGGAGTGTCTTAGTGTAGAACAATGTGCTAAGGACTCCCCCTCACCCTTTCACTTGATTTCCAGTCCTCCACACAGACTATCACTGTTCCTTAGACTATTCACTTAAAGTCAAGTAAATGAAGAACCATCAAAATTCACTATTAATAATTTTCATAGCAGGTAAAATAAATCAGTTTTTTATTCGTTTATAAAGTAAGTACCAGGACAGCTTATTATTATTTTTGTTAAAGGGAAACAGACTAAGGTTCTCAAATTCACTTTTTGTTAGTCATAGACCCATCATCAAAGTAAATGGAAAATAATTTTTTTCATGAGAAAGTTTCCAAACGTCACTCTTATTAAATGTATATAATTCCCATGGTTATCACTTCTTTAAGATTCTCCATAACTACTTTCACCAAGTGCTCTCTTTCCTTCCCTCCCCTCTTGTCTACTATGATACCATTTCCAGACATAGTAAGAGGGTAAATGTAGGGGAAAAAAAAACAACAAAAAACTAGCAAGCTGCAGAGCCCTCCTACTTGAGTTGAAAATGTCTTGTTTAAAACTACTGAAAAATAATGCTTTAGGTTGAAAACACGAGCATTGCAATTAATGGTCAGAATCACACTTCCTCATGTTCTGTGACTTCTTGATAATGGCAATGGCAAGGGGAACTTGATCCTGAGTAGATCTGTGCTGGAGGTCATTGATTTCAGAAGACCAGACATAGCCTCAAATATCACTTGCTTTCCCTAAGACTTACTTCAATTAATTTGTCTCATCCTTTTTAAAGTTTATTCATATATAAAAGACATTTATTGGAACCAGGAGTTCCATAAGCATACTAGAAGCTGTATAACATAGCCTTGCATTTCAATCATTATAATTTATTTTTCTAATTGTCAGAGAACTCCTCTCAATATAACATTCTGGGATTCCATTCCAACTACAAGTTCACATTAATAACAACCTTCCATTAAAAAAAATCCTGCATACTTTTTTTGCCAGTATCATTTCTGTTTCAAGTCTTCCAATAAAAATATATTGGAATGTTAAACTACCTATCCTCTAACATATTTTCTTTCTTAGACAAAGTGAGTTTTCCCCCACAAAAAATACTGAGTCTATTACTGTGATCCCATTCAAATAAAGGACTACTTTTTTGTAATATGATTCATATCAAGTATTTTCCATTTCAATATTTTTCATTTCCCATCAACTGAGAATGTGCCTTCCACAATTTTCTTTATGAATGAACTGCTGCTTTTAGCAAACAATTGGCTTTCTACTATATAAACTATTTATTTAGGCATGGAACCAAGTGTTATTTTATATTCAAATTCCCATGAAGATTTGTTGTTTGAGTTGTAAATTGCTCATGATGTTTTAGGTAGCACGTGTTTATTTCCATTGAAAGAACATGTCCTATTTTTGAAGAAGGAAAAAAACTTGTAAGACATCAAATGTTTCTTGCAAAACAATTTGATGAAATAAATGTAAATGAATCAGAACCATGTGAATTGTATTTCAATTAAAATGAGTTTAAGTGAAGGGAG